AAGGATTCTAGCATAAACGGTAAATTCATTGTCAAACTGATTTGAAATCGACCGCCAATTTACTTTCATTAAGTAGGTACTTGTTACCATTTCAGCTGCAGGCAATGCAGTAAAGGACTCTTCAAACTAGTGTAAAACTTTAAGGGCCTTCGTAAATTTATCTTTCATTCTGTTTGACTTCATTTCCAACGAAAATTTACACGCTTGTCATTAGATAAGTCGACAGCAATTTCAGAACTTCTACACATATTCTTAGTCTATGTAACCATAAGTTCCGTTACAAGCTCAGATCGTTATAAAGATAAAAATATAATACATTTTGAAAAAACCAAAATTTTATTCGAAATGGTCACCTTTTCATTGAGGRAATGTATAAAGCGGGAGATCGAGGCAATTTAGTGAGATCTGAGATATGAAATTTCATCTAAAAATGGGCAACGCCACGACGTTTCTTTCATTTWTGCTTAGAGAATTATCGGACTTACGCTACAAGTTCTCTCGAATATAAATCAATAATGCAGCTTGATATGGTTAGGATAAAATTTCACTTGTTTCGATTGAAATAAATCAGACTTTAGCATAAAAATTAAAAACATTAAAAAACCCTTCACGTAACTTTTCCATTTAAATATCAGCACTTAACCTTTAAAAACCATTTGTCTRCAGTTACATTTCTTTTGCACTTTTACCGCGCTTTTGGTGTAGAAATTTCGAGCACTTTTCTCTACCACGTACATTTTGTGTGCAGAAATCACCGTCAATTGAGTTCGAAGGTGTGTAGTCATGTAAATTCATTCATCGCAGAAATTGATAATCCYTACTCGCGTGTGCGCTGTTAGAATGCCAGCAGTTATAGCAGCGATATAAAAATGAGAACGGAAACACCGTCAAACACGCAAGCGTCAGACAAATGCAAATAGATATGAAATCTTACGTGTAATCGAAAAGTACATATGTATATGCTATACGTGGTTGCTCATCTCCATAATATTGTTTATTACGCCGCAAATTAGTACCTCAAAATATTGATTAACGCGCTCTGATGAATTACTCAAAAATTCCTTGATGACGATCCCCTTTTAAGGCACTCCAATTAACTAAATAATGTGTTCCTCTTTTGCACTATCGTCACAGTGAATCTTTCCATAGCGGATGCCATGGTATCCAGTCTCAATGTGACGTTCAATTATATTTACATGCTGGACAACGACTGGCCTTTCGGTGAACTATATTGCAAAATATCGCAATTTATAGCGACGCTGAGCATAAGCGCTTCGGTGTTTACACTAATGGCGATATCCATCGACAGGTGAGTTGATAAACCACAGCGCAGGACTGCAGCAGTTACGCCAAAGTCTGACGCAAATAAAATTAAATATTTCACCTCTCCATTGAACACATATACATATAAACATACAACATACATACTGTGCACAAACAGTTTGCCACTAAAAGCCCTCACTTTAACTAGCTGTGACTCCCTTTCTCGTGTCCGCTAACGTTCACCTCCTTTCAGGTACGTTGCCATTATGAAGCCGTTGAAACCACGCATGAGTAAGCGGTGCAATCTGGGCATTGCCGCTTTCATTTGGATAGCCTCAATTGCGATTTCATGTCCCATGTTTTTCTTCTTTACAACCGGCGAAGTCGAACTGAAGGATGGTACCCGAATTGTATGCTACGCCGAGTGGCCTGATGGTCCCACAAATCACTCGCAACAGGAAAATGTGTAAGTATGAGTTGCGCTATTAAAACAAGGGAATATATAGTATATGCAAAGGTATTGACGTRGGTGTTTGAACACGTGTTCTTGATGCTCAATTTGCTACTAAAAATGAAATGAACTTCACATACTTACTTGTGGTTTGAAATACTTAAATTTTTAACTCCGTACTTAAGTTAGATATGTGTATTTCAAGGGTGAATCATTTCGAGTCCTCCTACTTTTTTAAAGAAAAATCATACAAACTTAAAATTTTATAGGGAATTTTTATTATTTCTCGAAAGAATATTATTTGGCATTTGTTTTTTGAAGACCATCCTTTGAGTCCAATTTTTGATAACTCGTTCGAACTTTTCGACTGGTAACTGGCAAATGACAAGCCGATGATAGGCCCACAAACCACACTGTCTGGATGAAATGGCAGCTCTTGAATCYCTTTAGGATCTTTGGATCTTTTTGAAACTATTCAAGAGCTTCAGTTCTAGAACAAACTGTATTTTGCACGCTTTTAGAAATAAGTAAATTTTCAATTGTTTAATTATTTTATTTGACATAAAATTAAATTAGTCCAGTAAAAACTGGGAGAGATGTTACCAATTTTTAGCCATGCTTAAATTTAAACCCTTAACGTAACTTTTCCAAAAATTATACGCTGAACCATAATAATTTTAGATAGTTCCTTAACTCTGGAATTTAAAAAAAAATATCATATCGAATTAATTGTCTATCCACTCATATTTCAAATTACAAAAGCAAAAAAATCCAACCACTGACAGTTTTTCTTCAAAAGAGATATAAACATAATCACAAACTTGGAGATTTTGACATGACTTATGCATATCTCCTCTATAAGAAATGGGTTGTTTAAAGACTTACTTTAATCAATCAGAATACATAATTACATATGTATATGCTCTAATTCTTCCAATTCTTTCTTTSTCATAAAACCAAATGTTTTTACAGTATATTGCCTTCCAGCAGCATTGCAATATATTTGAAAAGTATCTTTTTTGCAACAATATTTGCGTTCAATTTCCCTCTTCCAACTGCAAATATAAATARCCAAGCAATCTTTCAACTGCCCAACCAATTATATTTTGCATTAACTCTGTACTTAACTTTACATTTCGGCAAAATCGCAAATCCCAAAGCAATAAATCAGGCACTTATGACAAATTCGAAATTTATTTGTAAATAAAATTGCCCAAACACAAATGTAAGRGTCGCCATAAATTTTGCAAATAATGCCCCGATTTTCGTTCATTTTCTTTTGTCCTTTTACTTTTCTTTACAGTTATAATATTGTTTTTATGATTCTCACGTATATACTGCCCATCATTTCGATGACGGTCACTTATTCACGAGTCGGCATTGAACTTTGGGGCTCAAAGACGATCGGAGAGTATACACCCAGACAGGTGGAGAATGTTCGGAGTAAGCGGAGGGTGAGTACAATTCACTAAATACATATAACAAATATTACTATCACTGGGTATCATTTCAAATAAAAGCAAAAAAGCCTTGTCCGCAGTCTTGGGGGTTTTTCTTTCCCTCCCGAATTGTTGCTTTAACAACCTTACGGTGGTTTATATCACTTAAAACTAATCTCGATAGATATTAATATCTACTGAAAAGGGAGTGTCTTTGGAGCGGCAATTGTAGTTTGAGGAGCAARAAAAAGTCACACGGAGCCAAATTTAGTGAATATGGTGGTTGATCGATGGTATTCATTGCGTTGAATTCGGTAACAATCGTGAATTGATGCGATGATGCATTACCATCGTTTTCCCTCCACTCCGATGATTGTTGACTTGTTTGGATATCAAACGCATAAACCCATGTCTCAGGAAAGTTATAATGCTCTCCATGAATGTGGGGCCGGAATTCACACAGTCAAGGATGACCAAAGCGACCAGTTTACGGTACTCTTTTTAAAAGCAATTATATCCAAAGATCCACCAAAATCGAACGGACACGCTTGACTTTTTCAGTCTTCTCTGACTTGGAGAGATGACAAGAGATGTCGACAAGTCTTCTCTGACGATTTTCAAGCRTCATATTCTTCAGTTTTYTAATGTTTTCATCAGTCGAAAATGTCAAAGCTTATACTTTAAAGTATAAAAATCAAACATCTATGAATTTGTCAGAATAAAAATTTGCGGAAATAATATACTCATTTCATGTTGTTCCGAAAATTGCCGAAGTCATATCTTTTCAAGACGCAGACACTAAKTATGTGGATTTGAGTACAATGGCTGAGTTTTCAATCAGTGAAGCCTACTTAGTATTGAAATTCATAAKGACTTGCTCTCATGATCAAAMATTAGTAAAATTGGGTCGAAATATTTCTTAGCCCCAATATACCTTMTTTAGTTTGGTGATGAGAAAAAACTATTGGATTTGGTTCCTTGTTCTTCGAACAGAGAKCACTAAAATTTAATTCTGGTAAAACAACTGTATTTAGCCTCATTTCACAAAGAAGGAATTAAATATTCATCGACTTCCACTGCTTCAAATCACATTATATTTGCCGGTATTCATACATACTATACAACTAACTAATTATCTACAAAACCTGTARATACCTCTATATATGATATTCGTTTGAAATTTACATTGAGTTCATATTACTATGTGCTTTCACGGAACTTGGTTATCTTTCTAACATTTATTATTTCTTTTTAATTCTTGTCCCTGCAGGTGGTGAAAATGATGATGGTTGTGGTGCTGATATTCGCCGTTTGTTGGTTACCCTTTCACATCTATTTTATAATCACTTCATGTTATCCGGCGCTGACACAGACTCCTTTCATTCAGGAAGTCTATTTAGGCATCTATTGGCTGGCCATGAGTAACTCCATGTATAATCCAATTATCTACTGCTGGATGAACTCAAGGTATGTATATTCAAGTTTAAAAATGCCAATCATGCAGTCGACACGTTTTCAATATAATGGAGTATGTGACAAAAGACATAAAAACGTTTTTTTAACTTGCCARGGTAGGATAGATGTGAAACCATTCTTGTTTTTAAACGTGCGCCCAACAAAGTAAAAATGTATGRAGTTTTATGCAATYTTCACAAACATTTGTMTATAAATATTTGAAAGTTTATTAGAACCTTGTAATTAATTTAGTAATAACATCCTASCTCATTTGATTGAGATTTTTTTGAACTGAGCCAAGCATCTGAAGCATATTTTATCCTGAAGATAAGAGTTAGAGTTTTTCACCAATCGAAGAAAGAGAGATATAAGGAAATTCATAAAATTTTGTATTCTTAATTTGCTGACCGAACAGCTGCTGGTCACACTCTTTTCCATCATTTTTTTTTTTTTTTATCTTTCTACCCTTTTTAGCCGTAACCCATACCTAACACACATAAGATAAAAAAGCTTAATTTTTGAGAACACTCAGAGCTCGTTTCGAAGAATTTACAATAGCATAGAACACATATTATCTTCCTTACAAAGACTCTATTGTTTAACTCCATCCTAGTTTTATACATACGCTTTGAGCTATTGATGTATGCAGTCATTCTAGTCTATGCAGTTATTTTTTTGTGTATAGCATCCATACAGGCAATGGTTTTTTTTTTTTTTTTT